TGTCTGCTTATTTTGAAATATTGCTGCTCCCAGCCTGCAGGACATCACGACGAGAAAGACGTAAAAATGTGTGTGCACGTTTCTCTCTCTCTCTCTCTCGTTTGTTATTTGGATTTCTCATTTGTTAGTTGGATTTTATGCAATCAATTGTTATTTCTCTGGGATACACGTAAAAAGAAGAGTGGACAAAATACGCGGGTAAAAACGAAAAATGATATATGGGATTCGCGGATTCGGAATCAATTCTCGTGAGCGAGCAAGCGAGCGAGTGCAGATCCGCGGATCCGCTGACGGCTTGAAATTTCACACGTTCTACGTACACACGTGTGCGCGAAGTTACAGGACCTTTGCGAGCGGAATCACGAGATCTTGCTTTTGCATCGTGGCTTGTAATCACGGAATGCTTTGTGATGTGCAAGCGTACACGCACGCTAAGAAGAGATCTCGAGAGAGATCATTTTACACATATACTGAGAAAAAAAATACTTAAAATATTTTTGCGGAATATAAAGTTTATTCACAGAAATAAGCTTCATTTCGCAGGGATGAACTTTACTTCACAGAAGTGAACTTTATATCCCACAAATAATGAGTGTGGCCGAGTTTAGCCCCATTTTGCGGCAATCAAAATCTTAAACTATTTTTTATAATATTGTAGCTATATACAAGTAGATTAAAGATATATAAATATCAAGATGATGCGCCAACACCATTTGGGAGAAAACGGTCCAGAAAGACGTATTCTATCGAAATAAATGATATCGTTAGGATTCTTACAGAATCCTAACTCCAGATTCTTTCTTACAGAAAACATAGAGGAAATAAGATAAACCGAAATTATAGAAAGCTCTTTTGAATAATAGAAATATTTGAATGACCTATAAGGAGCCAAGCACGTATGTCTTAGTGCCATTAGATATTAATACTGCTTTAATAATATCAATATGATAGTGGTAGGATAATATGTCCAGCATGTCAAACGCACGTATCGAAATTTTCTCGATCGTACGCGGCGAATCAACCTTCCACACCAGGACTAAAACCAGGACTGTGTCCTGGCGGAGACAGTTTTTTCGCAACATATAAAATGAATCTATTTGAATTATCGGTTTAATGGGGGCTTTGGGAATATAAATATAAATATAAATATAAATATATATATATATATATATATATATATATATATATATATAAGTTTGACTTAAGGATTGGTCTAAGTGTGGAAGGTTGATTCGCCGCGTACGATGATCAAGAAAATTTGGATACGTTTGACATGCTGGACATATTATCCTCCCACTATCATATTAATATTATTAAAGCAGTATTAATATTTAATGGCACTAAGACATCCGTGCTTGGCTCCTTATAGGCCATTCAAATATTTCTGTTATATAGGAAATAATACATTTCTGTTATATAGGAAATAATACATTTCTGTTATATAGGAAATAATAAATTTATACATATTATACGATGTATGTTACAAATAAGAAATTTAACGATCGTGTATTTTGTGCCAAGGCTCGCGAGTGTCGCTTCGAAATTATTATCCGCATCTTTCACGTATTGGAAATGTCCCTAAGGCGTGTATTTCGCAGAGAAATAGGATTTTCCCGTGTATTGACATTTTTGTCACCTTCCGCTTTATAGGAGCTGGAGAGACACAAAGAATGGCGAATATATCTCCATCCGGAAAACCTGAATACTTCACACACATGGTGCTATCGCTTGGCGTATCGCTCTAGACGTAAAATTGCATCACAGCTCTTCTCATTACGACACTCGTCGCTTTAAGCCGAGAATCAACATTCAGTAACCCACGACTTTTTTCTCGGTTCTGCTCCACTAACTGTGTGATTTCAAGTGGAACATTCCTCTTATTTCTCAATAATGAAAGTAACGAGGGGCTTCTGTTGACACGAAGCTTTCCTCCGTCTTATCAAAAAATTACGATTCCACGTGCGACGGAAGAAAGCACGTTACAGAACAAATTCCTTTCTTATCCGCATCGGTACTTTTTGTCGCATCACTAATTGTCGAGTGTTCTATATAGCAGAGAACGACGCACGCGATTCTCCGGTGAACCCTCGTCCTCGTGCAGCTCGACCTCTCGCAGCGGCACGCGTCCCGCCTGCTTTCAATTAATTAAGTAATAAAATTCAGACGACGAGCGGCCGGCCAGCGGGATACGAGCTTATCCACCGTAATTCGCCCTTGAATCTTACACCGGGGAAGAATATTCGCGCTCCGACAGAATCACTCGCGAAAACTCGAGCTTCCTCTCGCAAAGCAAGACCAGCATGGGAAGCGACTGTCTCCGACGAGACTTCAGTCTTGCGACATTACGCGTCTGTTGAGTCTATTTTTTATATGATTATGCCATTTGAGTGGCATTGCGTCACACGTTAACGCGAATATCCCTTTCCGTAACCGCAGGATGACGGGGCAACTCTCCAGATGTGTGCGTATCAACGCAAGTCGGGCAAGGCCCGGCCCCATCTTGCGTGTTTTAATTACTTCCACGCGCGATTACTCTGAAAACAACGTGGGACGCAGCCGCAAAGCCACGATATATCCCGAGACATGGAAGCAACGTGAAACAACAATTCCAACGAATTGACGCATTTCTTTTTTCTTTTCTCTTTCTTTCTCTCTCTAGAAAAAACTTTAGCACAAGGCTCTGTAAAGATCGCGTGCGAGAGTCAGTGAGCCTCCGTTATCGTTATAACTTCTGCAAAATGTGTGCACGCGTTGGGTAGTATGTCTCGAGTGGGAACGAGTGCGCGTCGTTCTGCGGAAACTCGACGACGACGACGACTACGACAAAACGTGAGGGGAACCTGGGCATTCCGGTCGTCGGCTTTGTTTCCCGACGAGAACAATCTACGGGTCGTGGTGCGCGCTTAGAACGACTCTTCTCCCCATATCGATCCTGGTATACATCTGCCGTTTCCGGCAACGTTACGTTAGCATTCGTGAATCGGGCCGACGGAACCCTTCCAGGGTTCGGAGGGCTCCGAGAGACTCGAAAGGGCCGCGGAACAGTACGAGTTCCTCGGCGACTCGTCACTCACGCGATAATTTCACCGAATAAGGCGCAGCGTAGGAATGCTTACTCTCGCTTTTGTTCGTCAAGGCGGAAGCCTTAAAGGATCCGTATAAGAATAGGAGAGCAAAGTGGGGATATTCGTTTGTATTCGAAATTAGAGCGTCTGTTTCGGAAAGCACAAAGTCGGAAGTCGCATTAATCTGTGACCCTCTCTCTACTCTATTCTGTTAAATTCTAATCTTAGACTTCCAGGTCTTATCTTGGAGCTGGAATTTTCCTTAATTATGATCAAGAAGCAGTAATATCTCAGAATAGAATTATCTAGTCCGCAAATTCTAAATTTTATTAATTTATTTATTTGTTAATTTATTCAGAGAACACATCACCCTTTTAAGACAAAAACTGTTTAAAGTAAAAGAATCTAGACATCCATTAACTAACTCTGTCCTTTTTCTCGTTTTGGTTTTTAAACAGAAATATTTGAACTTTCAGCAAAGGATATATATATTTACATGTTCTCGTTCTTCTCGACTGTCATATTCAAAATAAAATATTTTTCTCATTTCAATAATTAAACAAACTGAAAGTTTCTGTTAAGCTTTTTCTTCTCTTATAAAAAAATTTTTTCTCTTATTTTCTTTCAATAACAAAATTTTATCGGGATACCAAAATTAAAACAGGATTATCATCCCGTTAATTAAAGAAACGGATGAATGAAAATTATCAAATTACAATCTCATGCGATAGAAAAAAAAGAGAACGGCTCTCTTCTTTTTCTCTCTCTCTCTTTCTAGAATATATATGTATATATATTTTACGTTGAAAATTTAAATATTCCTATTTAAAAAATGACCAAAATAATAAAAATGTTCAAAATTAGATATATGTTCAGACACTGGTATTTGTGCCTCAACTAGCCGATTAGAAATTGATCCTATGCTCCTGATTATGTTGCCTCCTATCCAATTATCTAATTTCTGCAAGGAGAAGTTATCGAATACTAATAAAGTCCTTCTAATTATCAATAAATCTTATTAATAATAAAGATAATTCTGATTGTCACGGTGCGTAATGTGATTAATTAAGAACAATATTACTTTTATAAACAAGATAATTGATTATATAATACAAATAAGTAATTGGAATCAACCTAATCAGGACTATAGGATAAATTTCTAATCGGGTAATTTATTTTCTCTTGATTATTATTATTATCCTAATTCGTTATATTCAACATAAATCTACTTCTTTGTCAAGCGCTCTCTCTCTTTCTCTTTCGCGCGCGCGAGATTCAATTAATTTCCAAGCGACGCTTGATCAAGGACCGTCGCCAGAAGGGCCGGCACGATCGCGGATAAGATTGATGATCGGCTACTCTCTAGCAGAATATAGTCCGGCATAGAGCGGCACAGAGCTGTTGTTTACTACCGGAGTCTGTGGCCGTATTAATCACGAGCTAATCTAGATACCGCGCGTTTATGTTATTGGACGAGAAACTCGGCGCAGCCTCGTGATCTCTCCTAGGCAACGCTCGCGCGACTGAGTCATTATAAATTACTGACTTATACGATAAGAATGCTAATGCCTCCCTCGCCGGCAGTTGAATCAATGAGAAACGCGCGCCTAATCACGATCGGCCAGGTGCGAGAGCGGTTCATTAGGCACGCGGCAACGCAATCTGATGGTGCGTCAAGAGAAGACAGTCCCTCTTATCATCCGTGGCTTCTTTGACGAGCGATCTAATCATCGTCTTATCTGAAAGACGCGCATAATGTGTCTTCAAAATCACTTACATCTCCCTAGAACCGCAGTCACTACCGCGCGCACATGCTGGAAAACCGATATTTCTTGTGACGATACGAAAGCGACTTTTCGTCGATACTTTTCGAATGATAAGCGATGAACTGTGTGGATATTTCTTTGTAACCTTGCTTCACGTGATTGCTTGCAGATTAAACAAAAATGGCCGTGTTTGGCATGGTCTCGGCGGTCGCCGGATTCATCAAGGTACGATACCTCATCGACAAGGCGGTCATCGACAACATGGCCTTCAGGGCGCACTACAGAGTCACGTCGGCCATTCTTTTCGCTTGTTGCATCATTGTAACCGCCAATAACTTAATAGGTAAGACCTCTTGTTCAATTTCTGCCGCAGTCGCGTCGCTGCTTCTCTTACTCGTTAGCAAGAGTCTCACTCTCGAGAGTGAAAGTCTTCTAAGAATATGATTGAGAAAATCTCTTTCTCTCTCTAGTCGAGCAATCACTTCTGAGCTTTACCGTCGAGGACACTCTTGAGAGTGGTGCTCGGGGGCAAATGTAATCGCTCTTGTGTCAGCATATACCGATAGATATCGTTAGAGCGGCAAATAGGAAATTAAAAAAGCAGCCGCTCCTAATGATTAACAACACTGAGAAAAAAAATGATTTGTCTAACTAAAATTGCAGTTATTTTTAGCCCTAAACCATTTTTTAGTTGCTCCAACACGAAAATAGTGATGGTAACACGCATATACAGTTATTATCAGTTACTAACATATTGTAGTAGAATTTAATAAAACGGTTCTCTCGACCATATTATATAATTTATAGTATATGTGATTATATAGTCACGAATATCAAACATTTTATTCTCAATGTGTTTGTTAGTAAAAAAAAAGAAAGAAAAGATAATGCAACTAATGAAGGATGATCGACAGGTGGAAAGAAATTGCGAATAACTGAGAAACGCGCTTCGCGATATAATCACAAAAATATGAAAAACGAAAGGTAACGGTCAAGGTGTTAAAAATAAAATAGTTGATCTAACTAGGATCATAGTTATATTTGACCTCAGCTATATTTTTGGTCGTCCTAACACACAAAAATAATGATAGTAGTAACATGTATATAAAATTGTCACTAACATTGTAGTAAAATTTATTTAAAAAAAAAACAATTTTCCACCATATTTATTATATAATAGTAATTATTTCTTTATATGATTTTATAATAACAAATATTAAAGATTTTTTCTCTCAGTGTAAGTAGAATGAAAATTTTCAAAGTTTATGTATAGAAGAGCGTAAAACTCGTTTACGAGGAACGGGAAGATGAGGAGACATCTCAAAGGCGTGTAAGAGAGGCGTTAAAAATAGCCGCGACAATGTATATCATTTAATCTACCGGGCGCGTGGGTATTACATGGGTTAAAGATCAACTGCGTCGTATTCACAGTACAGGGCGCAGCCGGTCGTGATTAGGGATTTGTACGGAGAAGACTGTGCTGTGTGTGTTTCTTGGGGGCGTATGCACGATTATATAGTTGGAGGTCTAACCGACACGAATCCTGTCGACTACGGCGTTCTTTTATCGCCGTAGCGCGCGCGACACGATTAGCTTTAATGTCGGCAGCTGATTAGAAGAGACCACGTTCGCACCTTGCATTCATAACAAACCGCTCGACGTCGTAAATTCACTCCTCATTACGACTATCGGCAAATCCAGGTCGCTCTAGCGCGATATGATTGATGTATCTTCGATTATGCAGGCAGTGTAGTTGTGTAATAATACATCTTTTATAACTGCAGAGCGGTAAGTGTGTTTGTTTTTATAATCGTCGTCGAGTCAAGATTGTTTTGCGCGTTTTGATTTGGCGAGTGCATCTTCAACAATATCGCGACAGGCCATGCATTACTTTTATAAATTAATTAATGTTACCGGGACGCGACAGGCCATGCATTACTTTTGTAATTTTGTAAATTAATTAATGTTACTCCGGTACAATGTTCGTGTAAGAAATGAATTAATTAAATGAATGGAAAAATGAATGATACAATTAAACGTTAAATTTTCGGAAAAATTTGGAGAGGAGAGAAATTGGAAGTTCTTCAGAGAGATTTTAATAGCACGAGACTTATTTACCAAAATAACTCACCGAGTGAGTCAATTATAACTTCAATATAATATATCGTATTTGCTCTCGTCAACACTCGTATAACGTAATGCGTAATGCGCATTAACCGGTACGATGTGAAACATCTGGGATGCACGTGAGCCCCTAGATGTACGACGTGCATTTGCGGCTTGTTTGGAAAAACCTCGTTTGGAAACCGTATATGCCACATCTGTTCATCCTGTCAAACGATATCTTGTACGCTCATTTCGTTTCTTACATCTTCCACAAAATCTTGCCACAAAATGACGGCGTACACTTACACGAATTTTCTTATAAAGTAGCATTCTCTTTTTCTAAAAGATAATCACAGAAAGTAGAGGATGACTCCTAAAGGAGCAAAGGTAGAGCAGAAATTTGTAGGAATGTGATGTAACGTATCGCGAATTAACGTCTCGCGTCAACATCTGCAAAAATGAAGATCAGTCTCGCGAGACACTGCGAAAGGGTGATACTCAATACTCGAGCTCGAGTGACAACTGGCGCAGCATCCGCGAAGCAGCTCGTTCATGAGCACCACGACATCGTCTCATGTAAAAAGAGTTATTTTCGTCGAGCATGATAACGTGCCTCCTACGTTCGCTAATCGCCTCGGGAATTAACACAAGCTATACGACGGTAATCCCACGGGATTACTCCGTTAACAATGTTCGTGTAAGAAAGGTGCACGAGATGCTTCGTAGAATCACCGTTTATCTCTTCTAATGGTTACGTCTACCGCGGGTAAGCTGCAAGTTATATCGATCATATCTGAATTCGCGCTGCAGTCGTTAAATCGTCATGCTTTTAACGATCTCTCGATTCCATCTCCAGTATTAATACTAATAGCTTTCACACACAAAATTAGATGATTTGCGAGCTATCCTGTGTACATACAGAATCTCATTCTTTGCGTAACCTGCTTCGAATCGTCCGCTGTGACAAAGCCTCAACTATTCTGCACGGAGAAAAGAATACTGGAAAAATTACTTGCGAGATCAATTTCACGGAAATAAACTTTATATTCCGCGAATAATATTTTCAAGTAGCATTTTCCTCAAGTCATAAAACACGAGTTGGAATACAATCAAATGACTTAATCGACGTTCACTTTCGCAGGCGATCCTATCAATTGCTTGCTCGACACTAACATCAACCCCCATGTGATCAACACGTATTGCTGGATCATGTACACATTCACGTTGCCGGAGAACAACGCGAAACCGGTGGGCACCCACGTGGCCCACCCGGGACTCGGTGGCGAATATGACGGTGAGAAGAGATACCACTCGTACTATCAGTGGGTGCCGTTCATGCTGTTCTTCCAAGGCGTACTCTTTTACGTGCCGCATTGGATGTGGAAACAGTGGGAAGAGGGCAAGATCAGGATGATATCCGAGGGTGTAAGAGGCGCCATGGTCGACAGTAAGCCGGAGAGGCAGGCCAAGACTGACCGACTAGTCCAGTACATCATCGAGACTCTGCATCTGCACAACAGCTACGCCGCCGGTTACTTCTTCTGCGAGGCCCTCAACTTCGTCAATGTTGTGAGTGATGTTTTCGTAATTGAACTTTTGTCAAATTTTCGATCCAGCCGTGGACCTCATGTAGGAGTTTTATTCCCATTTTATCGGAACACGATTCTATCGGGAGAGTCTCTTCGTAACTTCGTAGTCCGCTGTAATCCGTATGTTAAAGATTGGGAGTTTAAATATATGACATCATTGTTTCAGGTCGGTAACATATTCTTCGTGGACACTTTCTTGGGCGGCGCTTTCCTAACGTACGGCACGGACGTGATAAAGTTCAGTAATATGAACCAGGAGCAGCGCACTGACCCAATGGTGGAGATCTTCCCACGCGTGACCAAGTGTACCTTCCACAAATACGGTTCTTCCGGTACCATACAGAAGTTAGACGCACTCTGCGTACTCGCGCTCAACATTCTCAACGAGAAGATCTACATTTTCCTGTGGTTCTGGTTTATCATACTGGCTGTTATATCCGGCATAGCTCTACTCTACAGCATGGCTGTGGTGTTGTTACCCAGCACGCGCGAGACGATCCTTAAGAAGCGCTTCAAGTTCGGCACACCGGCTACAGTGAGCGCGCTCATCCGAAAGACTCAGGTGAGGGATTTCTCGGCGGATGTAAACGCCCTCTTGCGTGTATCATACTTTTGCATTGCGACGCGAGGAATTCGACCGGGAGACTCATTCTGAAATGTCACGAGAAATGTCCAATTTCCAGGTCGGCGACTTTTTGCTACTTCATTTACTGGGCCAGAACATGAACATCATGATGTTCAACGAACTGCTGGAAGAGCTGTGCCGCCGTCTGCAGTTCGGCAGTGGCAGCGGTGCGTCGCCGACGTCAGTGCCGTCGGCGCCCAGCACTCTGGAGATGTCGCCGATGTATCCGGAGATCGAGAAATACGCCAAGGACACGGAGATCTAAACGCGAGGAGGCACCCGATTCGTCTTGACTCGATTCCCCTACTCTCCCAGCCCCACCCCTATTTCTATTTGTTCGTATTGTGATAATACCGAGGGCGGTCCCGCGACGCCGTCTCGGTGCCAATAAAGAGCTGTTCGTGCCGCGTACGTCGGATATCTTACCGGGCGCGCGCTCGTAAAACATATAACGCTTATATAGCAAACATATACTATCAGGTCAGCGACAGTCTCCTCCAGCCACTACACTGTCCATCGGGATTCGTGTCCCGATATTCGCGCGCCGCTCGTAAAACGTAAGCTTGAGCCGGCACTAGGAGATTCTTCGAATCTTCACCATACGCGAGTGAAAATTTCACTTCGATGCTCATTACTAAACGTTTGTAAAACTCACAAGCCGATCTTCCACGTTCATATGATGAAAGATCGAGTCGGCCAAACACCATTCGTGTTCGCGAAACGCGCACGCTGAACAGAAAATCCCCAGAATCTTGGGAGCTCGTGCCGATCTTCGCCCCTCTCCCACCATTTAACCGTATTTCCGCTCGACGGAATTACCACGTAGATCATTTTCCGTGCTTCTCGCACCGCGTATTCTTGTGCGACATTTCATCCGACGTCGCGCGCACTCCGACGTGGATGTCAAATATTACACGTACCGGCGCGTATCACCTCACCGACTTTCCAGTCCGTTGAGATTTTCGTTCGAAATGTCTCGTTTACGACATTTCACTTGGTGACGCTGTTGTTAGCATCACGCGCTCGTAAAATTCGAGCCTGCACACGTAAGAACAGCGCGAACACCGACGCCGAGCTTCGCCACCTTCTCGCGCGCTATAAGGCTACTCCCCGACCAACGTTTGCTACGAGATTTTCATTCGCCGCAAAACCCGCGAGCTGGAGCGCGCAACTCGCTCGAGACAGCATTATTTTTTGCCAATTCCCATTCTGACGAGATTTCTATCGCATTATTCATTTTTTTTTGTTGCCCTGACATATTTCCACTCGAACGACGCGAACTGGCAAACTGCTACTATTAGAAGGGGCGTTAGATTTCGACACGTCACCCGTCCATTCGCCAAACTCGGCTGAAAGCGATGCGCTGGTACTTTACACGACCGCGGCACGAACTGACGTTAGATTATCAAGTATATAATGTAGACAATAACACGTCGATGCTCTCGGGTTGGTAGTAGGAACGTGTATTCACGTATGCATTCGGTCGCAACAAGTTCCGATACCATAAAATCGCATTCGTTTCGTTGCGAGAATCGCTTCGACGAGCGGTTTCTTATTTCATCAGCATATGTTAATCTCTTGGATGGCAACAACGTCGATGGTCTTCGCAATTGTTTAACGAGACGGACCACTGCACGTGAGAGAGAGAGAGAGAGAGAGAGAGAGAGAGAGAGAGAGAGAGAGACGCCTATTATAATATATCACGGTGTTCCTTGACTCCTTCTTCGCATTACAAACGCATTCCCTTTTGCGTGACTGTAGACTTCAAGGAGAAGAAGCAGAAAACGAAGCAGCAAGCACCGAAACAGTAGCAACAACATGCTCACGCGCGATACGTAACAGATGCTCCGTAGATCGCTTATGTTAAGTGTGTAAGGAAGTGCAACAATAATTTACACGAAGCGAACGTCTGTAGCAGAATATCATCCTATCAGTCCCCGTGAAATGTGTATCGACGTATCGCGTCGAGAGCGAACGGTTCTCACGTCCCACGATCTCGTCACGATCGCGTAGATTTCCACGCGCAGACAGAACAAACAAATGTGGGAGATCCCACACGACAACGAATTCTCGTTCTTTAAGTAATTGTTACGGATAATAATGTAGATGTGTTACACACGGCGATCGCGAGTCCGACGATATGTAATATTCAGTGCAGGCGCGAATACAAGCTGTTCTTCGCGCGGAAGGTGATACCTCCGCGCAGAAGAGAGCGGGCTGTTTGAAGTCAGCGTCCGAGCGAATGTACGCACGAATCTCGCGAATCTCGGAGATTCCACCGTCGTGCGATCGATTAAGCTCTATGTATGCAAAAGCACTACGCGTTACTTCACATCGTACGTCCGACGTGCTGTGTCTAATAATCTAATAGACGAAATAATATGTCAGCTAATCTAGCAGAGCAGAAGGAAAGAACGTTCGTCCATTCCATTTTCATTATTTTTTTTCTTTTATTTTAGAGGTATTTCCACGCGACTGGTGAAACGGACGTAGTTGAGAGAGACAGAGAGAGAGAGAGAGAGAGAGGAAGCGGTATAATAGAAATTAGACTGACAAAAGGGGACCGCACGACATTTACGTGAGCGACCGCATTGTCGGTCGTACTCGATATTCCGCGTTTAAACTTCTTGTGTTCTCTTTTTCACAGATCCCTTCGGGAGATTTCCCCGTTCTTTTCCCGTCTTCCAGAAATCGAGTCGAGATAACGTTCACGACGTACCGCACATATATTCCTAACGATACGATGGAGTACTTCGTTAAACTTAATAGAGATCGCTTGGATTCGCTGGCGAGAGCGAATGAAATCGCCTGGCCGCGAATGGGTTTGCATCTCGTGTAAACTTCGCGCGATTAATTGTCACGTCACGGTAATTCCACTTCCTGTTGAGGGAAACAATAGAAACTTTAGCCCCACGCTCAGATATGTTAGCCGCGACCTCTTATGTGCAAGGACGATGTAAGCGTTGCCGACAGCAACTATGTAACGTCAATAATATAACACTACGATCCTTCTCCCTTACGATATCCGCAACTTGTTAGATTTATACACTACCGATAGTCGCGCTCCGAGTGATATCCCTTAAGGTAAGATGTTAGGACGAGCGAGCGAGTGAGTGGACGAGAGAGAGAAAGAGAGTGTGTATGAGAGAAAAAACACGAGAGAATGAGAGAGATCAATAATAGTTTATAGTTGTTCGCAATGTGCCTTCTATATTGTAGGATATGAGAACAAGGAATACGTTAACGTATAAGAGTATTCTTATCGATTTAGGAGGTGCGAAACACTTCTCACGATTCGCGTTTAATCACGAGAAGAAGACTGCCAATATGTGCAACGTCGTTATAGCGATTAATGAGTGAACAAAAATAAATGAAATTCTTTCCAACCGCATAGTCTGTCATTTGTTTCGTCTGTGCGATAATTGTACTTGGCGGGCGCGCGCAAGCGAGCGAGCTTAATTAGTACGTAGTCACGCGAGAGGGAAAACAATTCCGAAGTTTCTTTCCCCAGTTGCAGCTGAAGCAATCCTATGTAGAGGAATCCTTCTCCTCCAACTGAACGCAAAGCACTTTGTGCGAGAAGATAGCTAACCGGCTGAAGTTTTTACTCGGTAATTTCTGTATTTCGGGGCTATTGGAAACGACAAGTCGAACCTCTTTCTCCGTCTCTCCCTCCTTTTCCCTGTTCCTTTCTGTTTCTCTCTTTCTGGGATCAGATAGAAATGAACACGTTCGCGTCGTGAATAGAACGAATCAACGCGTGATTAAGGAAGCTCACGTAGCCGATAAATCTCCTCAATGAAAGGACACAATGACGCGGAAGAGCGAGATAATTTCCGACCTCGCCTCCGCGGCGCGTGCCGCAAATTTAGCATAAAGGGTTGTGTTTCACGCTTTTTCCTTCTTTCTTTTTTTTTTGTTCAACTCACCGATTTCCCCAGTCCACCTTATTGATTACTCGCAGCTTCAGCTCCCGCGTCTTATCGGTGGTGAGGGTGCCGGCCAAAAGCAGTCGCCGCCATTCCAGCAACTCCCGCATCACTTTGCGCAACGCGTTGAATTTGTATTCCTCGCGCTCCTGCGACAGGGTCAAAGCCAGGGGACCACATTTTGAGTCATTAAAAAAGTTTTGTGTACAGCCCCGAATACAGAGGATAGAAATGTTTATTACACGCTCTGGGGAGATCAGTCTTCTCTTTTATCTAGATACGTAAATTTAGATTTAATAGAACAAGCGGAGAGAAAGGGAAAATGGGAGGACACGAAGCGCGAATGAAAGTTTCGCAATTTTCTCGTCATCGATCGCAGTTTTAATATCGCCGAAATATCGTCTCTCCATTCGAAGCACAAAGCCAGAATTGCTGGTAGAGAGATTGGCAGAGAGAAATGAAGCACTGGATGAAATATAAACTCACCACGTATAGCCTCTTCCAAATGCTGCCCCACTCGCGCAGCACCAGGGTAACTTCGCGGACCACTGGGTCCTCCAGCGGTATGACCGACTCGAAGAGGCCCTCATTGTCGATCTTGCAAGGTTTCAGATGCACATAGGAACTGGGAAAGATCCCTTTTACCGCACGATTCTTCGTTGAGAAGCCTCTGTACCAGCCTGAGGAATAGTCGGAAATTTCGCCGTGTTGCATTTCTACGAGCGCATTCAACGTGTTGGGCTTGGAGAGATTGATATTTTAAGCGCCAAGAGAGAATAATGTAAACATGCAGTTCGCCCAATTATAACCATTGTACTCGAGCAATATAATAACGTTAATGTTAAATAATAATCGCTCGACGTGCGCCAGAACAATTACGAGTAATTATTTACTCGTAGAATTCTCTAACGCTTCTCCAGTCTTTTCTCGAAAAAAAAAAGAGATCTATTCATAATTTACATCTGCATCATTCCGCGCGATACAAGAATACGTAATTGCGATATTGTCACGCTTCCTGATGACTTCATCATTTCGCTTGGCATTAAGGAGAATTCACACCTCCCCAGAAAAGCAGGAAACAGAAAAGCAGAAATCAATCATGACCTCATCATCACCTCACACGTCGATGATCAGGTGGTAGTCGACAGTTTCTACTTTCTTACTAGCGCGAGTTCTGATTGGTTTCTACCTTTCTATTTTCTAATTTTTTGTCAAAGTATGAATTCTCCCTTAGACCTGATCATGTCGGAGCCTCACGCGTGCGATCGATGCGAGTGCATAGATCGCGCGCGAGAGATAATATCGTATCAGATTTCATACCCGCGCACTCCTCCAGAATCTGCACGGTTTCTCCGATTTCCAGGGGTAGTCCATAGCGTGTGTCCCCTCGCCAGTTGTATACAGCTACGAAGAGAAAACATAACCGTTATCTGCGAGCCGCGATATGACGCGGTGATATTTTTAACGAGCATTGCCGTCATTTAACGGTTAACTAGATCTCGTTACAACGGCGGTATAAACTGTCGTGTCTCACGGCTGATAACCGCTGACAGTAGTGCACTTGTGTCGACCGCAACGTAATCGTGCCTTTCTTTTTTATCAAACCACAGCCTATAACGACTCGTGCGTATGCACGCACATGCGTGTGATAATATTATATGTTATAATCATATTAGGCAAGCACAGAGAATATTTTTTCTCTAACGTGTCAGGATTGCGGCGTAACGCGATGACGAGTCTATCGTTTACAAGTTAACGGACACATTAGCATCAATTACGTGTGGACCGAACTGGTGTATCGCGTGGAGGTCACCACGGGCTTCTTTCCTAGAATTGCCAGCCACGATAAGCTAACTCCGGGGCACCGGATACGCGTGACGATGCACGTATGACGAGCCAGCTTCCGGTCCTCCGCCGGAGAAACGCACGCGAGACGCATCTCAATGAGCGCGTCTCTCTCTCTCTCTCTCTCTCTCTCTCTCTCTCTCTCTCTCTCTCTCTCTCTCTCTCTCTCAATGTTTCTCGTGGGTATATTTTCCGAGTTTACATACGCGTAGGTACACAGGGTGTGTTGAGAGAGAATAACAGGAATTTTAGAATGGATGCTTCTTCAGGGAAAGTTGCAGAGAAAAGCATCAATTCCCAGACGAGTACCTAAACCTGGACATTCTTATTGCTCTTTGATCTTTAAATACGAATATTTAAGTTTTCAACATAAAATAGATGTATACATTCAATATATATTGAATATATATTTCATGTTGAAAATTTGAATATTTGTATTTGAAAACCAAAATTATAAGAATGTCTATGCGCATGTTCGGGCATTGGTACTTTTTCCTTAATATATAGAAAAAATTAGTATCCTCTTAAAACTAATATAGTCAAATTAACAATCATTGTTTCATATATGATCAACAACATATTAAATAATTATAATAATTTGTTAGAAGAATTTTGAGATCCTGAATTTCAACAATGTTTTAATTTTATTAGAATATTATAACAGCCTTATAAGAGATAATATGATTATTTCGATAACAATAATATATATCTTCTCCCGACATTTAAAAACGTCATACTCTCGATCCAATATTTTGTGCATTTTATTGATGAAAATTACTTTTAAGTAGTAAGAATAGATCTTTCTTTAATCATGTAGGATATATTCTTCCAAATAAGTTATCGCGGTTTCACGCTATGTAATCTCATTTGAAGATGAACCTGTCAAAAATAATATCGAATATTACTAAATTAACGCGTTAACATTTGCGGTTCAATTGTCGGAGATAGAAAACTGCAAATTACGCCCAAGGACAGGATGTCGCTGCTCGCCATTTTTGGGGCATCCTGTATAGCTCGGTGTAACTCGCATTACTCATTTGCTCGCCCACTGGGCTGTCTACGAGCGCGATGCGTAGGACAGAGAGTGGCACAATTTTCGACAGCGGCACATCGTCGCGACACGCTTCAATTGCCCATTTTCCATCGCGGCAACGCGCATATTCGCGTACACACTACGATAAGCGCTCGCATTCATTCACGGAAAACACGTATCGATTCCCCATCGTACGCGTCATCAATTTTGACGAAACGATGGACATAAACGCAGATAACATTGGAACATTCCCCGCATAGACGTAGCGTAATGCCATTTGCATGTGGCTGATGAAAATCCATCTGGTGTGTTAATTTGGGGCCTAAGAGATTGGGGCCGATGAAAGTCGACGAGGCGGCGAATGAATTTGCAAACGCGCGCGCAATTAATAATGTTGCAAATCCGCGCGCGATTTTGAGATCGCGCTAATGGGAAAATCAGCGTATCAATGGTGCGGGTCACGCTCGCGACGACGACGACAGTCGTCGAACGCTTTTTCCATGTGCCGAGCAATAACAATGGGGTATTTTGCAGCGATTCGCCGACGAAGAACCGACAATGCGCTGCCAACGTGCTTGTCGCGCGCACGAGAGAGAGAGAGAGAGAGAGAGAGAGAGAGAGAGAGAGAGAGAGAGAGAGAGAGAGAGA